TATATATATATATATATATATATATATATATATATATATATATAAAAATGTAAATGTTGCAGAAATGCTCATTAACGAACAAGAATTGCCAATTTGTGATCCAGACTTGCACATTGTTAAAGAACCATAGAAAAGCAGACAGTTTACCTTTTTTTTTTTATTTCACTACTCCTATATAAACAACTTTCAAAAACAGTCATTCTGGACACATGCACCACAGAACAGCAACAGTCACACGGCACTGAAACTGTGTTCAAACTGAATATCAATTTACATAAACGTGTTGCAATGACTTGGTGTGCAATTACTCTGGTTATTATGAAAGGCTGCTTGAGTCTCGGAACAAATTCAGTCAGTGTTGACTCAGCTTGCTATCTTTGCAAAGCAACCATTTCATTAGTGAGGCAAAATAAATAAATAAATTCTCTGGCAAATCATAAGCTGCGTCTCATCTAAGTGAGTAAATGAACCTTCACTCTCTGGTTAATACTGCAGCTATGTGTCAAGTATAAGAGGTCTGTGTCTCAGAGAAGAGAGAGAAATGGACCAAAGAAATTGATTTGATGTAAAAAATAAATAAATAAATAAATAAATAGTAAAAAGTGTTGTGTGGGTAAACACTCGAGAGGCAACATTTTAAAGAAAGATTATAAATGGAGAAAAGCACACGAGTGTTGTAATTTCTAAGCTGTGAAGTATGCAACACCTCAATACAAAATTAATTAGCAGTAAGTTGAACAGATAGAACAAGACCAACACAAGGCACCAAAAGCATTAAGTAACAAAGTGGGACATGTTTACAAGAATAACCAAGAACTCTGTTTCACAATCACAAAAAAAAAAATACTGAGTAATAATTTATTAAAACTTCTACAGAAAGAGCCAAAAAAAAAAAGCAAATGTGGTATAAAACACCCAATACAGCAGTGTTTTAGCTAATTTTTATGCTCATTAATAAACTAAATGTGCAACCCAAGTTGTCTGATTTTTGCAGGAAGTGGTTTAAAGAATGATAAAAAAAAAAAGATAATGGTTTTATTATTATTGAAAAAGTTTTTTTTTTTTTTTACAAATTTTATATGAAGTTAATCATTTTCTATCTTAGTCTAGAACAGGATCTCCAACTCCAGTTCTGGAGAGCTACTATCCTGCAATGTTCAGACGCATTCCTGCTCCAACACGCCTGAATCAAACGGCCCTCCTCACCATGTTGCCAAGCAGAGACCTGGTGACAAGTCATGTATTTGATTCAGGGACGGATCCAAGAACCTTAGTGCAGTAGCTCCATACGTAGCCTTCATCTATGCTTAGCAACGTGAACATAACGTTTACATTAGAGTTATTTAATTAACGGTGCTACTTATTTATTATAGTGGGCTTGGGGAGTTGTTTACGCATTTATATTTTGCAAGATGCAAGTGTGCGAGCACTGGTGTCACTTTTACCTCTTATGCACTTTATTTGGAAATCTGCTACTACCACTGAGTGTTGTACTCCAAACACAATTTCATTGCCTTTTTTTGACAATGACAATAAACTTTGAATCTTGGTAAAAGTGACTCCTTGTTTCAGAGAGCTTTGCGCATTCAGATGCCCATTAAACAACAGATGTACCTAAATCTGGCTTTGAAAAGCACAAATGTTAAAATACATTCATAAGAAAAATTGCTGGCAAAACTGTGGCCCACAAATTACTGCATCAATGTTTAGAACTACATGGTATTTTCTCAATGTCTACCACATTTTCAGACAAACCTTTTTTTGTCTTAAACAGGCCCCCTTTTCATCATTACCTCTGCTGCACTGAGTCCCAACATCTGATGAGAGAACATTATAAGGAGAACACCGTTCTCCCCTGGATTCTTCCAGTCAAGAAATGTTTCTCCATAGCTGAATGCGCGATAATGGATTTTCTTTGGGACAACAATAGAACGGGCCGAGGTTTTTCAAGCGCAACAGCGGGGCAGCGACTATATCATTTTCTCATGAGAAGAGCAAAAGACCCAGGAGACTTTTCAAACGTCCTCCCTTTGCTTCACCTCGGCTGTCGGTTCCCCCCGGAAATCTGGACACTACAAAGCGGCTTTTAAAATAAACAACAGAGGCTTGATCCATATCGTTGTTGGTCTGACTGAAAAGTCTGTTTGGAAAGTTAAAAACGGACTGTAGCACACACAGAAACACACAGCGGCACAATTGCGAGGTTTCACCTTTGTGCTTTGCTTTAATCATCTCGAATTGTCACATAAAGGAGAGCTAATTTAGCAGCGCTCAAAACAAACACAAACATGAGAAAGCAACGGAGCAGGGGGAGACGGGTGAAAGAGCAACACCGAGCGAGAAAAAAAACAAACAAGCAGAGCACACACAGAGCCCTATCATTGTGCAGTTTAGCCTCATCAGCTGCTCCAGACTCCAGATTTACTGTCCTCACTGTTGGGTGGACTCCATATTAGGGAAGAGTCTCTGTCCAGAGTGCTGAAATAAATTAAAAAAGAAAAAAAAAGCCTTCCTACTGCTCTTGAGATTCATTTTAATGCACACCATGTTCGTCTTTGTCTTTGTGTGTTCTGTTGAACAAAAATGAGACATCGCCATATTGGGGGGAAAAAAAAAAGTTAGATTAACATAAAGATAACATGCGTAGGTCAGCGCTCTATTTGCATGTCCAAGTGATTCCTGTAATGCAGCCCATTAACTGATATGAGGCCAGCAAATGATCCAGCAGGCAAAGGTGGTCTAAGCCTCTGCTGGTTTGCTTAGATGTCACCCAGGTAACTCCTTATGAGAACTGATCTCATGGCTCTCATGGATCTCAAAGTCAGCACTCGTAGGCAACCCCGCTTTGAACCAAGTAGCTCTAGGAGCAGCAACCACACCTGTACACGTTTTGCTTCATTAACAAATTAAAGAAAGAAACCACGAGAGTAGCACGCGTTTATATTCAGACCCCTTTACTGACATAAAATGCAGACCACGCAGCTGCCCTTACGTTTGTGAAATGTCACCTAATCAGTAAATAGAGTTCATGTGTGTGATTTAACCTCGGTATCAATCCAGCTGCTCTGCGAAGGATTTCTAGAGAAAATTAATGAATAATCAGCAGACCGATGAACACATCTGACAGGACATCCACAAATTTCACCTTAGGGTCAGAATGGTGAGAAGAAAGCCATTATTGAAAAAAAAAAAAAAAAAGATTTCTTCTTGCATTTTATGCAGGGCACGCAGCATGCGAAAGGAGGCGCTCTGGTCAGATAAGACTTAAATGTTCACTGGGGGTAGAGGTGGGGTGGAGTTGCCTATGTGCAAGGCCTAATGTGTGGTGGAAAAAGAGCACGTCAAACAAATAGACTGCAGAGTTTCACTTCCCAGTAAGAAAATGTTGCTAGTTCTATGAGAGATTGTTTTAGATCAAAGTATGTGTTCAGTGCAGACCTAAAAAAAACACATAAAATATCTTGCTTAATTAACAATCATTTTCAGATGAAGTGGTGGAGACGTACTCCAGAAAACTAACAGCTGTAACTACAGCAAAAATGACGGTTGTATGTAGCGACAAAGAAAAACTGAATATCAATGCACAACTTCTGGTTTTTTATTTAATATAAACCTGCAACTTTTTTTTTTCCATAATTGTGTTGACTCCACAAAATAAAATGAAAATAAAATACACTGAACTATGTCATAACATGACAAATGGTGGGAAAGTTCAAAGGACATGATACTTTTGCAAGGCAGTGTACATGACAGGAGCCCTAGTTTTAGGTGCTGCACCAAGATTATCAGTGGCCACCATCTGGGCGCCCATCTTTAAAAAAAACTTTCTGGACCGCCCCTGGCTTCTGAAATACATGACACTGTAACGGGGTAAAAATGATGGAGATGTGGATGTAAACACAGCCGGCAGTGTTCTTTAACTGGCTGCCGGTGCGCAGTGGGACGTCTTGCACGTAGAGGTGCGGGAGAAGGCTACCCGGTTCCTTATTCCACAGCAGCTCTTATCAAGTGACATTACACGATATCTGTGTTCAGGAGCGGCATAATATTAAATGTTTGGTGCAAAGCAGCCCTAAAACGTGACGGGCAATAAACTTCAGAGTTGGTGCACTCACCTCAAAGAGTGGTCCGATTTTATTCCTCTCCAGATAAGACTGAATTCTTGACTGTTGCGGGGACGCCATGAAGAAACTGTTGTCGCCTCCCGCTCAGGAGCTTTTAGCAGAATGAAATCAGGAGGGGAGCCGGTGGAGTCATTCGTCCTTCAGGAGAGCCGTCTCGGCGTCTGAAACTGAGGTTGTGAAGATTGAACTGTCCTCCCGGTTGGGATAAGGTAAGTTCAGACGGGATTTGCGTTAAAAAAGGCGGCGCTGACACCGGGCGAGCATCGTGGAGAGGCGAGGAAAGTCAGCCCCGGGACCTTCCCCTGCGTGTCGCCTCGCTGACTCTCTCTTTGTCGGTGGCTCCTCTGAGTAAGCCAGCGGCTCCGCAGCTCTGTGACAGATTACAAATCTTCCGCTCAATGGCTGCTGGAGTTGCCGCCGCCACTCCCATTTCGTTATCCGCCTCTCTTAATAGTACCTGCTTCGGTTTTTGCCAATAAGCGCATTGTTGCTATACGAAACAACCACCCATTATTAGATTATTACAGGATGGTTTGAATTGTTTTTAATCAGGGGATATATGGGGAGGTTGTAAAGAGTCATCATCTTACCCCCACCATCCTATCTCAGTTAACTTTTTTTGTTGTTGAAAATACATTCAAAACTAGAATCAGGAAGTCCATCTTTTTCATGAATCCCCTCTCTACCACACCTGAATCAAATGGATGGATAAATAACAGGCCTCCATAAATATGTTGACAAGGGAATTTAGCCATCAGGTGTGTTGGACAAGAGATGCACCCAAAGGTAGCAGGACAGTAGCTCTTAAGCACTTGGACATTGGTCTAAATGAAGAAAAGGTCACTGTAGTGCTCGATTCTAAGGACACATTCACATAGCAAGCAAATGCAATCCAATGTACAACCTATGTTACAGCTTAGCAGGCTCTAGTGGAATTTATTAGAAATTTGTCAGACAGGAAGCGGGTCGTGAGAGACATGAAACAAAGGTCACTGGGCTGCGTTGAGGACTAAGGCCTCCATACATGTCATACTTTAACCCTGCGCCAATGCCACGCCTTTTTAATTTTAATTTGAGGAGCCCAATTCCACATTTTTCGCCCACTGGAAAAAAAAAAAAAAAAAAAATCAGATCTGTTCCACTTTCATATGTGGCACTAATTCTGATGTGTATCCAATAGTTTTCAAAGTTTTTGCAGTCAGAACGATTACATTGCATTTTATCTGACTTAAGTGAGTGAAGAGAGACGCGTCATAATACTGCCCCAGGAAGCAGACACACCAAATGAAGATTTAAACAACCATCACTCAACATACTTCTCTACAGAAGTTGTTTCCACAAAAACGTCATCGCCATTAGTTGTGCTTTCTTCTTATTACGTTCCTTCATCTTATGTTTTTCTGACAACATTGTCAGGTCCCATTGCTCAACAACTTTAAAACTACATAAGAAAATATATAATAGAAAAGTTTACTTCTTTTAATCTATAGTTGAAATTGTCTCTTTACTTCTGTTAAAAATGCTCTTTTTTTGTTTTTTTGGGACTTTTGAATATATTTTCCCCATTAGAGAAATAAAACACTTCAAAAGCACTTAAAAAATTAGTAAAGGATTGGAAAAGAAGAATTCAGGGGTCCCAGTGGGAATCTCACTTCTTCCACAAGAACAAAAACACACACATTTATGTTGTGGTTATCAGCTTTAATAGATTTGAAAAAGTGTGAATGAAATATGCATAAAAAGCCTTCATTTTTATTTTTTATATTACTCATACAGTTGAATATAGAAACACTATTACAGCTTATTGATAGGTTTTTAACATCTCTTTTTGCTTGCATAGGAGTGAGCTACATCCAATTAAAAGTAAGACAGATGGCCTCTACCTAAGCTGTCATCCCAGGCAAAGACAAAGTACATCACTAAATACAGCAGTGAATGGTGCTGGCAGCAGCATGTTGTTGGGGTGACTTTCCCAAGCAGGAATAGAAAACCTAGATGGAACTGAAAATAAAATAATCATAGAAGAAAGGCTCTTAATGCTGCAAAGACTTGAAAACCTGGCAAATATTTCCAAAACATTGAGACGTCAATGATCGAAGCATATTCATTTGTTCATATGACCCCAGTCCCAAATCAAATTGGCCTAAATCAAATTGGGAATCTTTGGCAAAACCTAAAAAAAACTGATGTTAACAGACAGTCTCCATCCAATCTGACTTAGCTCAACCTTTTTAGCATGAGAGAATGGGCTAGAATTTCAGCTCCTAGATCTGCAAAGCTGGCAAAAACATTCCAAAAATAAAAACCTCAAAAATGCTCTAACTGCTGTAAAATGTCATTCCACTATGCATTTGCCCTCTGAACTTTTCAGATTTTTATTTGGAAAAAAAAAAATCAACATTAAAAAGTATATTTTCTTTCCAAAATTCTGTTACTTTCTGTTCGTCTTAATACATTGATGTGATGAAAAGTGATGAAGTTAAAGGGCTGTAAATACTTTTGCATGGCAGTGTAACGATGTGATTCAAACGAGTATGAAATTAAAATATCTTCCACAAAAAACTTATGAAACAGTTACATGATGGGATTTTATGACCCCTTTTGCTTTCTCATTCAGATCAAATATCTTTTTTGATACATAAAAAAACAAACAATATTTGTATAAAGTACAACAATCACAATATAAAACATTAAAATACTATTTAAAACTTTATTTACATTATAGGCAGCTGGAGTGGACACATACAAGGCACTATCTTCAACTAGATTAACATACTGGTGGAGGGAGAAGTTTGATTGCTGAACCTGCAGAATGTTTCAGCATGTTCTTCGATGCATTGCATTATGGATCTCCATCTGGGGGAGGAGGCTGGCACAGCTTGTACAACCTGATCAGAGAAACGCATATAGGACGTGACGCACCATTACATTCAGCATGCAGCACTGTACGGCGTTCAAACACGAGCGAAAAGAGCAAGCAGCGATCTGCTGATTGGTTTCACGTCTGTGGGCCGAGCAGCTGCAGGGATTAAAGGCATTTCATAGATCCATGCATTCCAATGTCACCCTCTGTAGTTTTATTAATCACCTGAGCAGCTTTACATCTTACGACTAATGCCATATTTTCACAAGATGAGCCAATCTGAGCAGGAATGTTCAAATGATTTATGAAGCACAATCGTGTTTTCAGGTAACCATCTCAACTGAAGAAAATATGACAGAAATGCACAGAGGGTGCAGCAATTTTGGTCTACGAAAACCCATGTAATACATCCCGCATACTGCTACTTAGCTGTGCTCATAAATTTTGACTAAAAGGTTCAAAAGGGCTGATTGTCTCCACAGCGTTTGTTGTAGCTAAATGGCTGAGACACTCAAGCAGGAGCTGATGATTGTACCCACCTCCGACTGAATGTATATAGCTGGTAGCTTCAGGCATAAACTGTTTCCCTCGCAAAGAGTCTATGGGATGGATTTTAAATTTTTGGAAAAAAATGAAATCCCAATATTTTTTTTATTTTTATTTTTTTTTTTTATGATAGAGCAACAAAGAAAAGCGAATAATTGGGTAATTTAGGTTTTGTGGATGTTCACGTCTACACAGTTCCGACACTAATCTGAGTCACATTTAACATATACATCAAGGATATAAAATACTGATTTTTATGGACATGATGGTGCATGGATGAACATATGTTTTTACCTTGGAACTGATGATGGCGTTCGATCTCTCACTCCCAGATTTTTGGCAGAATTCTGAACTCTTGCACCCTGAAAGAAAACAGACATGCACCAAGTTTCATTGCATCACCAACCAGCGTTGACTGGAGAGGAGAAGTTACAAAAAAAAAAAAAAAAAACTTCACAATAAACTAAAGAATTTTGTTCCCTCCGAAAGTTGAACACGCGTTGGCACACAGCTTTGAATTATTGAATAACACCTTTTTTCTCTATTTCTATGTGCTGCATCTCCAGAAATAAATTATTTGTATAAACAGGAATTGCAACAAAGTTATACGCTCTTGTATATTTTACCGGTTCAGCTGCTAATCGGTGCGCAAGCTCCTTTCGGCTTTTGTTGTTCAACAGATATAAAACCAGAGATTGTTAGAATGTGTTGAGCTTGCAGTGCAGCTTTTAATGGACACCACTTTGCCTAATGCACATCGCTAGCACCAGTTTCTTTTAAGTGAGAAGCTTTTTCCCTGGTGAGGCTGCTTATTACAGGCTGGACTGTCAGAACAGCAAGGAAAAGTATATAAATTCCAAGTTTAACAGCATCCTATGAATATTGTATGACAGAAAGTAAATGTCATGCTGTGAATGAGGACACTGAGGATTTGAAATGATTGCTGTGGGCAGTGCAGTTGTTCTTTCTTACAATCAAAGCAAAGCAAAGCAGTACAGGCAAAAAAAAAAAAAACAAAGGCTTACTGAGGATAAAAAAACAAGTCGTGAAGAGTTTGGAAGATTAGTAGGGTTCCTGTGTGTGGTGGTGTTTTGTTTGAGCTTTATTACACTCAGTCAGTAGCATGTCTTCTTTTTTTTTTTTTATAAGGTCCCTGTAGTTTCCTGGCTATGTGCAGAGTCTGCAGATATATCCCTACAGAGTTGCAGGAAGCAACTTTCAATTTATAGTAACGAGAAGAACGCCTGCACCTGCAGATACTCCCTCTTTGCGTGTGTGCTGCGCGAGTATAAGCAGAAAAACACACACTCTCCAAGTCTTCCTTTAGGGAGGTCATCAGAGTTTTAGTAGAGCGAGAGTATCTGGCCAAAAGTGCATTAGCTGACCTCTCAATTACAACTCTGTCAGCCTGGAGTTATGTCCAGACAACAGGATAGCATCAGCAATTATTCGATTCCTATCACAGTCATCCATTCCCAGACCTCCAGACAGAGATGTCCTCTGCCGTCACTGATGGACACAGCTGCCCATAAAGGCCAGTAAAGAAATTTAACTTTGTGTAATGTAATTTTACATAGGGTTACACTAAATGTCAATATTGGACGTTTTCTCCAAAAAAATTTTACTCCCAGAAAACTTCCATGTGTTCTTTGCATCTTCCTAAAGCTCTTTGAATAAGATTCCAGTAAAATGCTGGAATGGCCACAGTTTTCTAAGGTTGTACAGGGCAAGTAAAGCAAAGAGAGGGAAAAAGAAAAAAAAAAGACGCTTTTTTTTGATGGATTTCTTTCATTAAAAACATGGAGTGTAATGGTGTAGAAAATAAAGGAGTTCCACACTTTTTCAAAAAAATTGCACCTCTATCTGGTTATGTTTGTGAAACTTAACCTCTGCGATTGCCAGGAGCCCAATGTATATTTACAGCTTAGGCTATAACATCAGTAGACCTGTAATAATCAATAAGGTATATTACAAATGCATAAATAGTGCCTCATTCAGTAGAGTTGCTTTAGGAGAACATTGCTTGTGAAGTTGGGAGTTAAGGACACTCTTCATTTTGTAAATTATGCGTCTGCAAATCACTTTGTCACTTTTCAGTGTCATACACCCAAATCATAAAAAAGTGGCTTTCATTTTTGCAGAATTCTCAGTTTTTAGAATTTGAATATTTAAAATACGGAAACACTATAATTTTCCATAAGACATGTTAGAAGAAGTTTTACTTTGACAGATGGTTTGTTATGGAACCA